CGTGTGTAAGGAGCTAAGTTAAATTGTTATGGTGATTTTTATGATGCTGGCTGCACAAACAAAGCATTCACAGATCACCTTCAGACTATATTCAGCCGAAGTAATGGCTCGCTCGCTGTCTCAGTCAATGTTTACCAAGTCTCAGTCTGTGTCTGGAAGGGAAAAATATGAAGTACCAAAGAAGACATTTCTTGTACTGTGTGATGAGGTCAGTATGAGTCATGAGTGCCCCAAGGGACATGCATGTGAATATTATGTTCTTTCCTTTTTTTTTTGTTCAAATGAAGGAATACCTTTGTAAAGAGATTTGTTCAGATGTATTTCAGGCTGCATGTTCATGAAGCGTTGACTTGCTTCTAACACTTCTTGCTCTCCTCAGATCTGCACCTGAAGCTCTCTCTACCTCAGGGTTACGAGGCCAACCTGCACCCTCTCCTCATCATTGTGTAAGTGTCGCTGAGCAACCACACGAGAAAATTGGACTGTTTGTGTCACCGGTTTTGCAACATATGATCAATGACAACTGGTCTGAACCCACCAACTGTGAGCACACTAGCTGATCCTGTTCGTCTCGTTAATCAGAGACGGCGTTCCAGGCAGTCAGTCGGTGACTGAGGAATTCTCCCTCGACTGGCCTGAAGTCCTCTCCAGCTCTCAGAGCGTGGCCTTGGCCTGGGTGGACGGCAGGAGCGGGGTCGGCCGTGGACAGAAGACCGCTGCTCTAGATACACGCAAGCTCGGAGCACTGAGAGTCAAAGATTATCTTGGAGTTGCTGAGTCAGTGCAGTTATAAAACAACATAAGGTTCTCTCATTGAGAAAAGCCAGTCAAGTGATAAACTAACTTTTATGATGTCTCTACAGGTTGATGATGCAACTGCCCTACATTGATGATCGCCGGATGGCCCTCTATGGCAAGGTTACAGCATTTTTAAAACCTGAAAACTCAATTCAACTCGATTGAAGTCATCAAAGTGTTCACTTGATTTAAACTGGCCACTTTTTCTATTTCCCTTTATAGGCGTTTGGTGGTTATTTAACACTCAAGATGTTGGCTGCAACAGATAAACTCTTTCAGTGCACGGCCGCTGTGGCACCAATAACTGACTTCAGGCTTTACAGTGAGTTGCAGCCATGTCATCAATATATTATTCATCGAGTGAGGCTTTGAAAAATGCTGTGAAATGTCAAAACAATTCATGTGTTGGTGTAAAAGTTGTTCCACTGCTTTCAGGTGCTGCATTCTCAGAGAGATATCTCGGCCTTCCAGCAAAGGAGGAGCATGCTTACTCGGTGAGGCTCGGAAGCTGTCCTCTAGTACTCTGTGCTCACCTATTAAATAGTTTAGATAAATTAATGATATCGGTGTTGGCAGCACGATGGTGTGGTGGATGGAGCTGTTGCCTCACAGCAAGGTTTCCATTTCAGAGGGTTTAGAAGATACTGAACAAGGTGCTTTATAAAATCCATGGGAATAAAACAACACAGAACAAAACCAGGCAAAACTAAAATAAGAAGAATAACAGAAGAAAATATTCAAAACAAAATGTCTGTACTTTACAGTAAAGATTATGCAAGAAATAAAATCCAAAACATCACATGTCCCAAGATATCATCCAATACTAAGTACTATAAATGAATTGTACTTTATTTATACGATTTCCTGTATACCAACAGTTAACAATATGCCATACAATTAAAGAGGGATATTTAAAAGAAGAGTCAAGCAGCAAAAGCGCTGGCAGTGATCAGGCTCATAGGGGGATAGCAGATCGCAGATATAGGCTGGAGCCTGACTGTTCCAGGCTTTAAAAACAAGCAGTAAAATCTTAAAGTCAATTCTTATTCTCAGAGGTAACCAGAGTTGGTGTAATATGGTGTAATAATGCAGTACAGTTCAGCCGCAACAGAACCTACAGCCTCCGAGTCGACTGTAACGATTTTAGCAAACAGCTCAGTAGTATTAAAACTTTTATGAAGGTAGGATTTGTTGCAGGGCGGCATTAGTTTTTACTGGACAGGTATAAAGTCATGTTGTGTATTTTCAGACTGCCTCTCTGCTGGAGGAGGTTAACAAGCTGAAAGATGAGAATTTCCTTATTCTACATGGAACTGCAGATGGTAAGATTGTTTTAAATTTCATGATGACATTTGGATTTAATAGTTTTTCATAATGCTTATTCTAAATGTCTGTGTGTTTCTCACCAAAGCGAGGGTGCACTTCCAGCACAGCGCTGAGCTCCTGAGCCGACTGGTGAAGGTGGAAGCCAACTACTCGCTGCAGCTGTACCCAGACGAGGGTCACGTCCTGAGAGAGCCCCGCAGCGTCCAGCACTTCCAGCGGACAGTGGTGAATTACCTCCAAACCTGCTTGAAGCAGAGCGTTCTCCTCGAGCCCATAGAGGACGAAGAGGAGGACGATGACTGAGCCGAGAGTTTCCCTTTCCTCCGTCTGGAAGGACTCTCTTAGGACTGTATGCCGTTTTATGCATTACCTTGGGTCGGTTTACCAGGCACAAGAGCAGAGGAGTGGGGACCAAACACATCAGATCACCTCCTACAACTTCTGGAAAAATTGATGTACTGTATATCATGTTGCACATAATTATTTCTGTTATACTGTATGATTGAGACACGGTTTGTTTACAAGATTTACTGAATGATGATGTGGACTAGAAGATTACTGATTCCAACCAAACGTTTACAAAGACTTGAAAACATGCATGTCTTAATGGCTGCATGATGTGGATTAGTTTACACTGCATTTTCTGTGTTTTGCAGATATTTGAATTATGCCCATCAGGTTTGAACGTACAAACTCTGCCAAGAGCCAGGAACACTTGAGAAGACATGAAAATCCTTAGCGGTGCTATGAGAAGACGCAAACCTTACATAACATTCAACCTACTATACATTTCTGAATAAACCAGATCAAACGACACAAGCATATTCAAATTTACGCAGGTTCCTGTCACGAGAAATTCAAACAAGTGAGATAACTCTGACACAAGAGATTTGAATCTTGGAATCCTCCTGTGCAGACTCTCAAGATGTCACTGCAAAATCTAAGGATTTTTGGGTCTTGTGCACAGTGGATTCCTGGCTTAAATAAAGTTAGATGAAGCATATATATGTATCATTCTGAATGTGCCAAATACAGTTTGTGTACTTTATCCACTGGTTTTATTAGTGTTATTTGCATTATGTGACTAAGAACGACGGCTGAAACAATTTACACCACAAGCTCCAATTCAAGAAATAGTGCAAGAAGGTCTGTACAGGTCAGTATTGTAGTTTTCTGTTTTTCTACGTCTTGGCATTTGAATCATTTGTTGTATATTGCAGAATTCTGTCATTTCTTTGGACAAACTGTTGAGCCATTATGTTACAAATACATTTAGCTTGTGGGCTTGACCATCAAGCTATCAACCAAACCATACCAGTAAACTGCATGCAGTTGGTTTGAAAATGAATGCCCGACACGAAACTACCAGCTACTCCTTACTCCTTTTATTCCCCTTGACAATAAAGTTTGAACTTCTTGTTTTACAGCAAATTATTAGTTTGGTTTGTTTACTTCTCATCATGGCTGTAGCCTAACAGAGTCATCTGGATGGATAACTATGAAATGCTTGGTTAATAGTGGTTGATATCTGCTGAAGAATGACGGTGGCATTAACAGCGACTTATATCTGCTGCTATTGCTCTAAAAGACTGAAGATCAGGTCCACAGGGTTTGAAATGGATCACCAAAAACATGACACTGCTCATTACATATTCACTCAGTTGGGAGTTCTTTATAGAGAAACCTATATTGAATGTCATTAATCCTCCTTTTATTAAGGTTTTGATGTTCAGTTTTTGTTAAAATGTTTTAAGTTGAGTCAACTGTATGCTCATTCAGGTTATACAGTGTGTAGTGGAATTCTATAGTGTTGTATGGACAGGTTCTTCTATTAGTCTGTCCATCCAATATACATAATTTAGGGTAGACAATACAAAACCCACACTTCCCTGTCTAAGATAAAATAAGATAAGATGAGATAAGATTGCACTTCATTATCAGAAAGCTCTTGCGTCCCAAGACGTTCACTGTTTCACATAAATTACTACAAAAACTAAAAATATATAACCAAACAACAAAGCAAATACATATGTACTCCTGCATCACACATTATGAATCAGTGGCTGCCGTGAAACTACAATCACTCCCTTTAACATTTAGAGGCTATCTATCTATCAATCAATCTATCAATCAATCTATCTATCTATCTATCTATCTATCTTTCTTTCTATCGTTCTGTCTATTGGTCAACCTATCGATCTGTCTAACATATATCCTTTTCTTTCTTTCTATCTATCTCTCTATCTATCTGTCTATATTTCTTTCTTTCCTTCTATTCTATCTATCTGTCTTTCTATCTATCTGTCTATATTTCTTTCTTTCTTTTTATTCTATCTATCTGTCTTTCTATCTATCTATCTGTCTATCTTTCTTTCTTTCTATCTATCTATCTGTCTATCTTTCTTTCTTTTTATTCTATCTATCTGTCTTTCTATCTTTCTTTCTATTCTTTCTATCTGTCTTTCTATCTATCTATCTATCTGTCTATCGATCGATTTGTCCAGCTATCGATCTCTCTATCTATCGATCTCTCCATCTATCTATCTATCTATCTCTTGCTACCGGTCTTTCTATCTTTCTTTCTATCTATTGGTCGACCTATCGATCGGTCTAAAATATATATTTTTCTTTCTTTCTTTCTTTCTTTCTTTCTATCTATCTATCTATCTATCTATCTATCTATCTATCTATCTATCTATCTATCAAATATCGATCGATCGATCTGTCTCTCCATCTATCGATCTATCTAATCCATCGTAACACACAGGGAGGGGGGAGGGCCTCCAGCCAATCGACTCGCTCCCTGTGACGCTCTAGCCAATCAGATCCCTCTACGCTGCGGCAGCGATCCGGCGCCTCGCCCAATCAACGAGTCGGCTGCTTGCGGGCCTGAATCCCTCTTCAACCTTCCGGAGGGGCACCTTCAACCAGCTCCGCGGTGCAACTGGCAGCGGCGTCCTCAGCTGAACAGACGTGGAAGTACCGCAGACAACATGTCGCTCCTCACCTTCAGCCGCCTGGCGCCCAGACTCCTCAACTCCAAGGTAAGAGCCTTACTTCGGCGGCTCGACGCCATATCTCCTCTGTCAAGTACTTTACCCGGGGAAGCTAACGTGCATGCTAGCTGGCGTCAGCTAGCTTAGCCGCTTCCAACCACATTGTGAAATGCTGTTGGGCCGAGAGAGCGCGAGCGGCTAATAATAACTATTAATAACCGAACACTGGGCCGCAGCTTTAAGTTTTCATTCACTTTGACTTCACATGTGTATCTATGTTAACATGTTCGAGTCCCGCTTGCCTTTGAATGAGTCTTGTTAGCTAACATTAGCTTAAGTCCCGCTGCTCTTCGTGCCGGCCTGGTGGTGTCACAGCCTGGACAAGTTTCTTCCTGCAGCAGTGGCCACTTCACATGATCTTTGACTGTTTATTAAAGATCTACATATATTTTCCGTCGATTTCAAGTCACCGTAGTTGCTTTCAGACTCAACCCCATCGTGGTTATTCCTCTCCACCCCCGGTGACCTTCACGTAAAGATTTCAGACACTTACCCAAAAGCAAATCTTTCCATGAGGTCCTCTACATCTGTGTTGTGTTCTGAGTTTTAAAGTTATTTCAACATTTAGATTCAACTCTGGATGTTCAAGTGCGAGCAACTCTCACATAAATGATGAACATCCTATTTTTATTCACACATGCACTAATGCACTAATGCACCACAGCAAATTCCTTTCATGTGTAAACCTGCTTGGCGATAAAAGCAGATTCACCCGATCTTATTATAAATAGGAGGTGGGTTGTTCTAATAGTCAATGTGGGTTATTATACTATATAATCTGACAATCAGCTACAGAGTAAGACCCCTTTCTGTGACTCACACTCTGCCCTACTCAGCTGACCTCGCAGCCCAGACTACGTACAGTACGTGACCCCCCTCAGCTTGGGTCATCCACCACCTGAGCGTCTATTATCAGATCTTCCTCCTCCATTTCAAGTAATCTGTGACTGAGTGGTGTAAATCCTTGAACTCTGTACAATCTATGGGGAAATGACTCCCTGTTATCTGTCTTGCAATTAGTGATACATGCTTTTAACCAGTGGCACCCTCATCCTGTCCCTCCTATCAGTTGTAATCTTTGGTCAGGAGATTTTTATTAGTATTAGTCAGCTGGTTTTTGTACTTTACACAACTTTCCATGACTATAAAGTGTTAAGTGTCTGAACTATTACCGAAAGTTATGCAATTCATATGTTGAGACATGGATAAAGATGTAGTTTCCTTTATGTGTACAGAGGTTATATCGTCAATACTTGATTCTTAAAAGTTTAGGGCAAAGGGGGAGAAATTGTGGATTCAACTAATGCTTGCTACAAAATTGAGTGAAATTGGTTTTCTTAGTGTACTTTCAGCTTTTCTCCCTGCAGCTAAGTTGTATGTTCACTTTTGTTGACTTAGTGAATTGTTAGATAACATGTAAATGAGTATGTCATGTGTTTCCTTAAACAAAGAGCCTGCGGGCTGACTTCTTTACCCTTTCTGTGTAGTGTTGTTACTCTAACCTTTCTCCCAGAAGTTGGGAGTTCTGCCGTTGGAGGTTGCTTGGGGACTAAGGAAATCGGACACTCTATGTTTAAGACCCGGAGCTGTTACATAATCCTACTCTCAGCTGGGTGGTGTGTGTCTGTGGTGACGCAAGGGCCTACCTTTTGTCTCTGCTGGCCTTGTTGGACGCTTATCCACTTGTAGTTGTGGGGAGGGGATCCAATGCAGAGCCGAGCGAGCTGTCACTTGTCTCCCCTCACGCATTGATGATTTTGATAAACTGTCAGTGGAGTCCTGTCACGATGATGAGCAGCAGCAGGAGGCTCAACTTCTCACCGCTGTTAGTGCACTTCCAACACCATTTACTATTCTCACATTTTCTTTACTTGAGAACAGTCCCATTATGTCAAACAGAAAATGATATCACATTGTCTTATCCAAATTTCAGCAACAGTGTAAGACTTAAGAGTCATCAGAAATTGCTTAAGAATATTTGGTTTCTTATTTCGTTAACCTCTCATGAACTTCAACTCAATTGGAAGCACTGCAAATCGCCTGTATTTTTTCTCATAAGGATACAACAAGTATTTTTGCCAAATTGATTTTCTTTGTCTATAAAATATAAAAACACAAAATGTCTTAACACTAAATAACCATTGAAAATCTGCCCCAAATTCAGTTGACTATGACATAAGCAAATAAAAAAGAGCAAATGCTCACATTTGAAACTATAGAACTGTCAAATATTTGGCCTTGTCCTTGACTTATTTCCCAAAATAGGTGGTGATCGATGGTTCCCTCTTTGTCCATCTCATTGCTCTGGTTGTTAAACTGCCTGTTGCTTGTCTCATTCAAGCCAAACATTTATAAAAAACACTTTATTTACTTTGGCCTCATGTGAATACAAGTTTTTTGCTGTTCAGAGCTTCTTGAATTTGAACACTCTTTCATATTAGAATTAATTTCCTTTCATGTGCAGGCATGAAGGAGACAAACTTTCTGTATACCACATATTTCCTCAAGTAGCATCAAATTCATAAGTTGTGACTAAGCTGATGTGTATTTTATTTGCCTTCTACAAAGCAAAGGTTTATTTTACAGCTTTAAGTATCAAGGACAGCATCAACTGGTGTTATTTTAATAACACACACTGCTGTATCTCTGTGACTCACTCAACATGCTCACAAGCCCTCACTTTTAAAAGGGTAATCCTCATACATCTGATGAGGAATGTCTACAAACAATTCTTACTAGTAGTGGCTTGTTGCACCTGTTAGTTGTGAATAGCCCAAGCTCCTCACCCATGTTTATTTTAGTGTAATGTTTGTAAGAATAGTTGTAGAACTGAGCCACCAGCCAATTCACTACAACAGGGATAAAAAAACAGAAACAAGTTGAATTTTTTTTCATGACGCCCACTGGAATTAAGTGTTTGGCAGTAAAACAATAAAATGCTTAATTGAAATCCTGGACTCATGCTCAAAGTAAAACTGTTTCAAAGAACCTCCTATAATAATATGAAGAGTCTGAAGATGACTTTTTGTGCAGCGTTTCTCACTGTTCAGAATCTACTGAGGAGGGATTAGTTTTGAAATTTGTTTTTATCTTCCATGTGAATGAGGTCAAAAGGTAATTTACAGGAACTCGATGTTTAGAGCCACTACAAGGTTGTCTGGTTTCATACATAACAAGCCTTGGTAACCAGACATGCTGCAACAATCTTGAAATCATTTTTAACCCCTTTTGTCATGTTACTAATATTATTTCTTTATCTGCTCCACAGAATGCCACCTTCCTTGTGGCAGCCAGAAATGCCAGCGCATCAACAACAGTAAGTTCACTCCACGGGTGTCTGCTTACTTATGTTTTTTTCCCCAGGTTTTTTTTCTTAAATGTAATTATGTAACTTGGGTGTAGTAATTGGAGAAGATAATGCTGATCATTGTCACTTGAGATATATTATTTATTTCTGAAAGTGTAGTGTGTAGATGTTTGATTTGGTGCCTCACTGATTTAGATATTGTGTCTTTACAGAATCTGAAGGATATTCTGGCAGATCTCATCCCCAAAGAACAGACCAGGATCAAGAACTTCAAACAACAGTATGGCAAAACCAACATAGGACAGGTTACTGTTGACATGGTGAGTAAACCTGGGGAGGGGAGACAAAATAAATAATAGATAATGAATCAGAATCTCACAACAATTCCAAACCAGTTAGACATCAAGCCATGTGGATCACCAGTCATGATGCATAATAGCTGTGGTATGGCAACCCCACCCAATCCGTCAAGGCCTGCCCGGTAGTATTTACTGTCAGGTATCATTGTCCGATGAACTCCCTTAAAGATCACAATACGAACTGCTTCCTGCCAACAGACATTTTAGCTGCGTCACTAAAACCTCTACTGCATGCTGCCAGTTTCAGATTTGTACAGTTGCCATAAACACACACACTGACCTCACCACTGCAAAGACTGCGTCATCTTCTGCTTACTGTCACTTCCCCTCTCCCTCGTAGCCATGTGGATCTTTGAGGAATTTCTTTTCACTTTAAAACAACAAATAAACAGTTAGTGCTTTGTTTAGATTCTCAGATTAATTTTCTTGTCGTCCTTTGTGTATTATTACAGGTGCTAAATTAAATGGCTTTTGGATTATTTCTTTGTTTCAGTAAAATACTTCAGTATCTCATAACTTTATGGGCTTGTGTTTTCTATTTTTTTCATCCACAGGTCTATGGAGGTATGAGGGGGATGAAGGGTCTGGTGTACGAGACCTCTGTTTTGGATCCTGAGGAGGTCGGTATTGAAGCAAGGCCAACAAATGTGTTCAGACAAAACTTTCAGGCTAGGGACAATACAGTGTCTATCAGTGAGCACTGACAGGTCCTCTTTTTTTCCAACTGTGAAATAAACAGTTCTGTCAAGATATATATGGATTGTTAACAGTCTGTGAAATGTAAGAAGAAAACAATATTAGTGGATGTATTGATATTGAATTTCTTAGCTGGCAAATATTTATTAGTATCAGCTTTGAAAATGCTGTGTTATTCAATCTGCTGAGAGTCAAAGTATGAGCTTCATGATTGTAGACATTCTTAAAGTGGCTATAATTTAAGCTTTGGTTTAAATTGGCTGTTAGAGACCAGCCTTCTTCAAAGGCACTTACCAGATTGCTTTCTCACTGAAGCTGTAGAACTAGAGCTCATGTTGACAGCTTGACCACACTGAATTTTCAAAGCCAATATTACGTTTTCAGGTTTTAACCCTGACTCTCCTTTGACAAACAGGGCATCCGTTTTAGGGGCTATAGCATTCCAGAGTGTCAGCAGTTGCTGCCTAAAGCTCCAGGAGGTGAGGAGCCGCTGCCCGAGGGTCTCTTCTGGCTGTTGGTCACAGGGCAGGTGCCCACCGAGGAGCAGGTAAGAGTGAGAGCAGTGCTGAAGCTAGTGTGTTCATTGTACTCAAGAGTCAGCACAGAAGGTGATGGGCAGACACCCAGGGAGCCATGGACGGCTCCATTGTCTGTGGTGATTAGAGTTGATAATGTGGCATTTCAAACAAATTAATGTTTAAACTGTAGCGGGTCAGAGGCGTCAGTGTGAAAAAATCCATAGCGTCACAGCTCTAGCAGCATAATCAAAACCGATTACTCCTGCAGAATGACAAATGTCAGATAAAGGTGACTTGAGCCGCAACACGCGAGACATAATATTCTGTCACTTTGGAATAAACATGAAAAAGTGGATCAGAAGCTGTTTGGCAGCATAAGCATTTAAAACGATTCATCAGTATGTAGTGTTAGATGATTTCAAACAGTTGCACATTTATTCATCTCTTGGCTACTGCACTTTTACTTTAATGTAGTCTCTGCTGTTTTATTTCAAATTAAATGTGCTGAAGCTCAGTGCATGAAGAACAGAAAACATCTAATTGTCCAAATGCTCATATTGTTGAATGTTTAATCCTACAAAACCCTTACGACTAGGAAACAAGATGCTGTTTGTACTTTAAATAAGCATTTCATTGCTGCCAGCCATGTCCTGGTAGAGTGTTGTAAAGAAAACCATTCATCTCTCTAGCTGACCACAATTCACTGAATCAATAGCTTTCACATCTTTACCCTATTTGATCTGACATGATGTATGAGTTAATGCATCTGTTATTTAATCAATCAGCAAAGGAAGATAACTTTAGACCATCATCTGCAACAGTTCTGCAGATCAAGATTTGCTGGCAAAGAAAAGCTACTGTACTAACTGTGTCTGTAGCAGAAAATCAAGTCCTTCAGGTCCCTCACTTAATATTGTGTGATTCTTTTTCTCCAGGTGAACTGGGTGTCCAAAGAGTGGGCGAAGAGGGCCGCACTTCCCTCTCACGTTGTCACCATGTTGGATAACTTCCCCACAAACCTGCACCCCATGTCTCAGTTCAGTGCTGCCATCACAGCTCTGAACAGCGAGAGCAGCTTTGCACGGGCTTACTCTGAGGGCGTCCACAAGACCAAGTACTGGGAGGTGAGTTTATCTTTTTCATGTCATCTAGGATGGAAATATTCATCTGGTGTTTCTGAGTGAAATGTCTTTATGAACAAAAATGGACTGCCATTGAATTTGGTACTTTTACATTGCCTCTCTTAGTTTGTCTATGAAGACTCCATGGACTTGATCGCCAAGCTGCCATGCATTGCTGCCAAGATCTATCGCAACCTGTATCGTGAAGGCAGCAGTATCGGAGCCATCGACTCCAACCTGGACTGGTCCCACAACTTCACCAACATGCTGGGCTACAGTGATACCCAGTTCACTGAGCTAATGAGACTCTACCTCACCATCCACAGGTGCCACTTTCTGTTAGATTCTATTATTGGTTCTTAGGATGTATGCTCCGTTTCCAAATCCAATATTTAATGTAGATTAAATGTCTTTGAAAGAAAAAAACTATTTCTTTGGCCACAACACTGTTCTAATCTGTTTTTCAATGTTTCAGTGATCATGAAGGAGGCAATGTCAGTGCCCACACCAGCCACTTGGTGGGAAGTGCTCTGTCTGACCCCTACCTGTCCTTCAGCGCCGCCATGAATGGTCTGGCTGGTCCTCTGCACGGTCTAGCCAATCAGGTTTGTACAAAACTAATCGCCTTTTCCCTTTGTTTTTTACTCACACGTGGAAGATTCAGTTTTTTTTCCTGGCATCAGAAGTAAAGTGTTTTTTTTTTTTTTCTGAAAGACATTTTGTCATGCTGCTGCTGGAGAGGCACAGCTGCTACTAATAAATCTAATTCCACTTAGCTGCTACACTCTCTGGGTCCTGGTATCGTCCGAGCTGGCTGCGTCACGCTGACATTAATTACTGAGACTAGGGCTGCGCTATATGACTTTAAATCAGTATCACGATTATATCAAACATTTATTTCCTCACATATTTATGATTTGGGCTTTTTATGATGCAAACATTTATAATTCCTTCATGATCATGTTCTTCTATGTAATTGTCTTTCATGTAATTTGCATTGTCGTCTTTATCTTTCAGGAGGTGCTGGTGTGGCTGACTGCTCTGCAGAAGGAGATGGGAGGAGAGGTGTCTGATGAGCAGATGAGGGATTACATCTGGAACACACTCAAATCTGGAAGGGTAAAAAAAAACACTCCTCTTACACGCTCAGTTGTGGTTATTCTAAAAATGCTTGGCACAGATTACAAGTATTGGTAGTAGTTGGATCTTGGCACAGTTCAAATGTTTAGGAAACTGTCTCCTCTCTATGGGCTGCAGGTGGTGCCAGGCTATGGTCATGCTGTCCTGAGGAAGACGGACCCACGTTACGCCTGCCAGCGTGAATTTGCTCTGAAGCATCTGCCCAATGACCCCATGTTCAAGTTGGTCGCCCAGCTTTACAAGATTGTCCCCAATGTGCTGTTGGAGCAGGGTAAGGCCAAGAACCCCTGGCCCAACGTGGACGCTCACAGTGGAGTGCTGCTGCAGGTGAGACGCAAGTGATGCGCTTCAATCTTCAATGTAAATGTCATGTTCTGGTTCCAAATACAAATCCTGACATGGTGTCTCCTTCCCCCTGTGTACAGTACTATGGAATGACTGAGATGAATTACTACACGGTGCTCTTTGGTGTCTCCCGAGCCCTCGGTGTGCTGGCTCAGCTGGTGTGGAGTAGAGCCTTGGGCTTCCCCTTGGAGCGCCCCAAGTCCATGAGCACAGATGGACTGATGGGACTGGTGGGAGTCAAGTCAGGCTGAAAACCACCTGAAAGGAGCTGGGGGTTAGTGTAAAGGGTGGGAGGAGGTGGAAATATCAAAAAGGCAGACATAAGTTGACCCCCTGTCATTTCCAACCCCAGGGATTCAATGGGATTCAAAGAGACAGTACGCTTTTAATGTCATTTCACAAAAGAAGGGCCTTTTAAATCGTCTCACAATTAGTGTTTGAGTGTATTTAGTTAACCCCTGAGAGGTTTTCCCCACCGTGTCTCCATATTTGGAACATGTAAGGTGAAGGCTTCAGTCACATACATGTAACCCATAGTAAGCTCAAACTATGTACTATTCTAAGTCTGCTAGCATTGCTAAGATTTTCCCCTTTGCAGTGCCCACACGTTTGTCATTGAGCACCTTGTGGGTCTGAACTATGAATAGGCAGTGGCATTCAAAGGGAATTGTGGGAGTGAATTACACTTCGTTTATATTTGTTAAAAAGTTCAAATACCTGACTCAACCTTTTGTTGTTTCTGGCTTAATGCAGTGATTTGTTTTAGAGGACGTCCCAAAGAAAAAGATGTTTTCTCCCCCAATTTAAGACTCAACTTAGTTTTTCCTTCTATGCAATTTTCCCAGACGTCATCCCAACCAGTCTATCAACACGTTTCACTCCCGTTTATGAACACTCCAGTTTAGACAAGAAGGTCCTCACACGTAAAGTTAACAAGCTGTACAAGATATAAACAACGGCTGGTTGATAAGTACATGGCCTGAGGATGGAGGAGTCGATTTCAAGACCTAGCACATTTATTTTTCTCCTACATTAAAACGTACGGATCCCTTTGTAGTCAATGATCTCCAGCGTGGTAGCGGTCACCGGCCTCCCAGGATGGCGCCCATCCTCCAGGCTCCCTGCCACGTTTGAATTCAGCCGTCCGCTTCTTCACCAGGATGTAAGGAGGGGCACCCTCCCGGGGTGTTACCACCATGTCCTCGAGGACCTCTTTAGCTGACCGGCTCTTGAGACGGAGGTAGTGTGTGACTGCACAGTGGCCCATGTCCATTTTGAATCAGCCAAAACAGAAACGCCGGAAAAGGTCGTGTGTAAACTCTCAAACAACTAAACTGCTCGTGTATGTAACACGAGCTGTAGAACTCCTCTCCTCCCGCCTCAGGCCACGAACATATCAATCACCTCAAACATTCAAAAACAAGAAATCAGTTGAAAGATACTGCCCCTTTAAATCTTAAGTCTCCCCCTTTTCACCAACTGTAGTCGTTTTTTCTTTGTAATGATGACCTGTAGCACCTCTATGATCAAAATAACTGCCTCGTCTATTTTCATAGATAAGCCCCCGTGGTTTTGACGGGTCTCTGCTCAAATGGACCCTGCTAGAGAATCCAGATTAATGTACAGTAAATCAAGATGATAGAGTTCTGAGCAAAGGGTGTTGTAATTGAAAGCCTGTCGTAAATCCTTAAGAGCAAGCTTGACTGAAAAGTAGGATATGGGGACTTTGGTAAAGGTCCCGTCTTGTCTGAGTGTATGTTTGTTAATCCCCACAGGAGAGCGCTTTAAACATCAAATACTCCAAAATGAGCACTTGCTTGATAGGATTTCCTTATTCGTAGACTTAGACACCCCCCAGGTTGATTGTTTCCCTTTTTTTCAACGTTTTTTTGGTGTTGAATATGTATAAAACTATAATCTTTGAGTTCTCATTTTGTGGTTTTATTTATACTTTGTGTACATAGGTATATATATGTATATGTATAGCTTGAATGTATGAGCTCGATCACATGCTTGTCATAGCCACAACGATTACCGTAGTTAATCCACAGTGTTCCGTCTCACTGGTCACTGTGAAAATTAAACAACGAACAAAAAAAAACTTGCAGCTATCGTGTATGCATATAATTTCTTGCCTAGCTCAGTGGGCCTAAGCCGGTGCTGTCTTTTTCAATTATTTCACATCAGTGTTTCAAGCTTGCTCTTAAGCTCTGGGTTTGTCAGCACTCCGTTTTTTGTGTAGTTGAAGTTCTTGCATCTTTTTAATTTCTTCCCCGTCATGTTAGTCAGTAGCTCGCTCAGATGTGTGAATCTCTCTGCCGCCATCCTCGTGGCTTCATCAGGTGTTTTGTGTTTTGATCATAGTGTTGTTCCGTGTGTTGGGTCGTTCGAGAGATGAGGTTATTTTGATCGTAGAGGAGCATATAGAGGTTGTACATGATAACGGTGAATTCACAGCAGGACGGATTCATGAAGAGGAACACTGTGGGGGATGGGTCAAATGGGAGAGAAAAGCTTGAAGAGCAAATATTGGAAAAACCTGACAAAAAAAGAAAAATAAAGGTTTTTATTAACACTTGTTTGGTCTGATTTTCTTTCATTGGTCGTTATGTAATGAGGGTCATTTTCACAGAGGACGTTCTGACAGGTCACGGCAGTAAAAGCTGTAAATAATTAAACTACTAACAGCTGAAGTTAATGTGTCTGGCTCACAGACGACAGTAAAAGAAAGTTGAGAAATTAAATTGTAAAATAAACAAAAGATGATATAAAACAATAGATAGTTTAACTGTTAAAATACACAAATAATAAAACTACATAAAAGCCAGACTAAACAGTTTTCTTTTTTAAATTAACTTTTAAAACATTTTAAGAGATCGTTTCAACCTTGAGCTAGAAACAAATCAGTCGTCTTCAATTCAGTGAAGTTGCACCAGGTTACCCAGACTCAAAGACATCAGCTCCCAAAGTGTAGTGAACGTCGGGTTCTTTCCTGACTCACACCAGGTTCTGTGGACAACTGTCAACCTATCAGTAGTTTTTGTGTAACGCTGCCTCAAAAATAAACAAAGGGGCGGGTTTGAAAACACAACCTCATTGGCCGAGGTAATAACTCACCTGCTCTGTGAGTGAGCACATTCTCAAATGTTCTTCCGAAACGCAGCGTTGGACGACTGAATTTTAGAAACAAGATTTTAAACAGCTAGTCTTGTCTTTCACTGTGGTGAGATTATTCTGGCGAGGCCTGACTTGAGCTTGAACGTAGTAAAGGCGATTGACAGGATCAAGGAAGAAGATGGGTCCGAACAGCCACCTCTCCTATGTGCTGTTATTAATAACTGGCCCACATACCACCACCCCACTCTGGTTTCCAGTCAGCTACCTTTAGAGAGCTGTGTCCAGCCTCCTTCTGCCTACGTGCACTTTGTAGCAACAAGACCAGGGAGTGTTTGAGTTTCTGGCACAGGCTCCTCATGTAAATGTATTAAAACACAACCCTGTGATAAAGGTCGCTGCAGGTGAAGAACGTGAGTCATTCTGCAGAGCAAGATGCACATTATTTAAAAACTGCACACACAAAAAACAGTTATACCTGCTTTTTTTATTTAAATAATATACTTTAAAATACACGCACAGTATTTTCAGATACATTTTTAAATATATTCTATCGTAGGATCTCCCCAGTCTGTGGTGGTGATGCTCTAAACCCTTCTTTACATACAAGTCCACCACCGTTACACCAAGGGTCATTCATTCACCCGCAACTTGACAAGTGAATGTGGAAATACAAGGGATGAAACGATCACCGGTCTCATGATAAAACATCAGTTAATTTGTTCTATTTCTTTATCTTTAATTAAAATATTTACTGCGATCATCATCAATGTGCAATCAACAAATGCAAACACCCACAGTCCCCACATTTCACGTGTGAAACAAATGCTAAGATATTTTGTCCCGACTGACATTTGGAGTCGACGTAATAAGTCGTCAACCTTCGATAAATAACGACAATACTTTCATTATTTTATTGGTATTAATTGTCAATATAAATCTGGATGACTGACTGTAGTTGGTGTATCAGTAACTTTGAAGCGTTTACAGCACATTTGAACAGAACTGTGATAATACTGATAAACGTGAAAGTTCCAGTTGATGTAATCGTGATACGTTTTCAGGAAATTCAGCGTCGGGCTGAAGTTTGTTACCTTCCTGTCCTAAAATATTTACATCCGCCAAGAAGGTTATGTTTTCAACCCTGTCCCTTTGTTTGTAAACAAGATCACACAAAAGCAACTGGACGGATTTCCATGAAAACCGGTGGAGGGATGCAACAGGGCCAGAGAAGGGGCCATTCACTTTGGAGGACGAATCCAGGATTTCAATTCTGAAAGATTTTCCAACATTATGACTTGATGGAAACAAAATCAGGAACATTTAGGGAACTGATATCTTTAAATATGGGTAAATTGGTGCAGCTTGAATTTAAAGGGACTGTCGAGTGTTGGTGAAGGTTTGCACTGTACTGAGTACCATTTTGATTTCCCTTGTTTCTGACTCAGAGTATTGGCATCTACAATCAAAGGAGCTGGCATGAAATGCAGTCTGCGTGCAGCAGTATTAACACACACAGATGTTAGGTGGAGATAAACGGTGCCACGTGAAGCCGGATCACTGCATAGCAAGCACGGCAATATGATATAAAATAGACTATTTTATTGCTTTAAAATATAACACAGCATTTGAACATCTTTGTAATAAGTAGAACTATTTATTTTTTGTTGTGATTCACATGCCCACTTGGATTTTAAATTCTTCATGCACTGATGATTAAATATCTCTTCATTTCTAAATCACAGAGAAAATGAAAACAGATCAAGTTTGAAGCCAAAATCCAGATGTGAAAACGCCGAACCCCCAGTTCAGCTGTTGGGAGAATAAGACTTGGAGCGTGTGGACAAAATGACCTGACTGTTACCAAGAAGGTTACACAACAAATGACTTCCTCCATTGACCTTTGGCAACCTGAACGCCGCAGTCACCTCTGTGGCAAATACAATCAGTTTAACTTCAGAGCCCTTAATCGTGGAATAAAGCGACGGGCTACTTCGACATGAAACTTAAATGTAGTTTTGACCTTGACACATAAACACGAGACACGTGTCTAACAGTTGCCTCTTAGTTACATCCATGCATCAGAATAAATATAAATAAAAGCCTTTTAAAAATAAGCATTAAACCCACAGATGATGATAAATGATAATGTTTTATTCTACAGCCCACCAGTGTATTATTTTTATTCTAACAATGTACACAACAGGAGTAACGTCCTCCTGATGACCTTCAGAAGATGGACCACAAAACACAGAAAGCAGAGAAGGGAAACTTTTACAACGTCCCGTACAAATGGTTTGTTTTCGCTGCAGTGTGATTATTATCTGACCACTGTCAACAAATTCACCTTTATTTTTTGTATCATGTCTTATCTTTAACTTTGAGAATCTGCAAACCTAAAGTAAATACAGGTATTTATCAAATCTTAAGTTGTTTTTGTTGTAATCCCATTTACACTATATCAGTTCTTTCCAGCTTCTCCGTGGAATTATTCAGGTGCTTTTGTTTGTGCAAAGTTTAACTGCCTCCAACACTCATTCATGACCTAATACTCACTACTAGTGCTGGGCTGTAAAATAAGGCATTATTAAAACTGGCAGACCAAATCTCAATGTCCAAAAAAACCAAGCATCACAGCACAACAGCCAAGTTAAAGCAAAATTTTCCACAAGTCAAGGTTAAATGAGGCCACAGCTAACTGATGAGGAAAACTACTCTTCTCTCCCCTTCGCGAAACGTTGCACTTCATTGATTTCGTCACAACAAACAGTGACAACACTCCCACACATGGCACATTTAATTTGAATCCAAATAAAACAATACAAGTTTGCATGTAGCCACTGATGAATTCATTTGTTTTTAAAAGAATGAAATGGGTTTTTTTTGGGAAATTAAGTTCACTGCTATATGTCAGGATATTTTAAAACTCCCATTTGAATTAAAAACAAGTGGCAAGGGCAAAGAATGTGTTTCCCTATTACAGTATAATCAGCTGATTAAAGTAAAAATGTTGACCCACTTTAACTTAAAGTGTCGGCGTGTCAAGTATCGTTGAGGTCACAGTGAACTGTAAGACTTGAGCTGAAGTCAAATGACCTCTGTGCCTTCAATGAAAAATATAAATTAAACAGTGTTGTGTTCAGTGTCACTGTGCTGCTCTTCTAAAATATAAGTTGCCTTTCTTCCATTGCTGACGTGACGTTGCAATGATCGACTGCTTTGTTTACATAAATCCAGTATGTAACTGCCATGGAGCAAGAGCAAATGTGGATTCCCTCTGCCAAACAAGGAACCCTTCAGTGGAGGTAGACAGAACGTGGACAAGGAGGATGGAAATGAGCAAGAATCTGTTGAGGCTGCAATAACAAGAATGATTAATATTCCAACATAATGCTTACAACAGTGGGATGTCTAACGTCTTCCGGAGTCGCTGTGATGTCTAGGCAGCGGCAGAGACTTGAAGTTGGAGGGCGAGGTGACTATGCAGCATCATGCGGGTTTGTGGGGATAAAGGGAATAAAGGTTGGTGTCGTTTAAGGCCAGATGAAAACACGGAGCTGATGAGATCACGTCTGATGCACCTCGTGAAACATCAACTCCCGCGGGATTCGAGTCTCTGGGCCGTACAGCTTGCAAGCTCGCCGCTCGAATGCGGTGACGTTTTGCTTTACAACCTCATCGAAGAACATGGTGGCTAACTGGGAGTGCAGCAGCGAGCGGAACTCGAAGGATATCTGAGGAAGACACAAACATTTCACTTGAATTAAAAAAGTTCTGGACTCCAATGTAGAAATGCTTATTAGCTTTCTTATCAAAAGTTACATGAGAAGATCCACACCACAACCATGTCTGTGTGATAAATACAACCTCAGACAGCTAGCTTAGCATAGAATAAAGAGTGAAAAAACAGTGGGAACAAGTCTTTATGCTAAGCGCTTGTCGTTTCATAGTTCTTGTCTACGAGAGTTGTATCAATCTTCTGATTTAACTCAAGGTAATGACATAAAATGCATCAGAGGGTCGATAATGTAGAAATAAAGCTACTTACAGAAAAGTCTACGGTGCAGGTGCGAGGGTAACCGGGAATGCCGGGACTGAAGCGCCATATTGTCTCCAGATGATTGAACAGTTTTCCATCTGTACACACGGCCTAGAATCAACCAGAAGAAAAACTCTGTGAGCGGGAACGCAACAACAACTCACGTCGGTGAATTACACTTTGATTTCAGGGAGTTAGGGACATTTATTTTGTATTTCAGAAATCTCAAAAACTATTTCCCTGCATAAAATAAAATCTGATGTATATTGTCATTCACAGGACTGAGGGACTCACAGTAGCGGCTCACACTTACTTTGACTAGATGAGGCCGGACACAAGTGATCATAGATGTGTATCTCTCCACCACTGGAGGGAATCCCACTTCAAGCTGAGCTTTGGAGTGGCCTGCTCTCTTCATGATGGTCTGGGACTTCTTACACCAGGGCACAAAGAGCTTGTACTCGTCAACATTAGCCACTACATCGTACATTTCCTGCATAGAAAACCTAAGAGAGCAAGTATTCCAACGTTAAGGTCTTCAACAAAACAAAAACTACAAAATATAAGTTATTAATATCAGAGTAGAAAATTACCCAATTATCCTACGCTCGGAGTACTCCTTCCTTTTGTTGGTGAAGCTGATGAAGTTTCTACTTTGGGGAACGGTTGTCATCGTGTCCCACTCTTGAAGGCAAAGTGCTCTGGGAGTTCTCGTCATCAAAATGCCACATGACGACAGGTGTCTGAAATAGTAAGACAAACACGTCCTGTAAGCCTCATTCTGGAAAGACTGCAACAAAACACAGTGCACAACAACAAACATCCACCACATCCCAGTTCCCAGCTACTGAAGCCAATGAGTGCAGAGATAATGTGCTGGAGCAGGACGGAGGTCTCTGTGCTGAGAGTGTGCTGGTATTTTCTCAGTGGGGCAGGTCCTCTTATGTGAAAACACAAATGTATTGTTACATCAACTCACAATTGTGTCACCACATAACAATGAGTTTTTCCAATAAGTCACCAGTGGAATCAGGACAAACGTTTGGTGACTGTTGGCTGAAACTTGGCCATGATTGGGTAATACTGCCATCAATCAATATCACATGGTTACAGGATAGTTATGCAATAACAACACTTTAGTACACCGTTTGTTGAATCACTATTTTCAATGTTATGTGTGTTATTTTGTTTATATTCTTAGTTACACGTGGAATCTATTGCACTTCTGTCCGTCCTGGTAGAGGGATCCCTCACATGTCGCTCTCTCTCTCTGAGGTGTCTACAGTTTTTTGGGGTCGTATTTTTTCCATAGTCTTGTTGAGGGTGAAGAACAGAGGACGTCTCACCTTGTTAAGATCTATGAGACAAATTGTGATTTGTGAATATGGGCTATACAAACAAAAAACATGATTGGTTGACTTGAATGTGAACCGAACTGAATCAGGAACTGTGCGTGGATGTTGGACAGATGATGATGTGTAAACTGTGGCCCCTGTCATACACGTGACTTTCTTTTTTATACCCAAACATCATTTACTGAGGAGCATCGAAGCATTAGTAGGATGTAAAGGTACTTGAGGTTGTCGGGGGTCTGGTAGTTACCCCGGGATTAAAACCTGCAACATCCACACACGACTATATCCCATCACACCCACAGGAGCCAGTGTTGGTCCCACTGGACTCATCGCGTCACGACATGATAAACACACTGCGGCTCACCTGATGTTCTGTCGCGTGCACCCTCCTCTGGGCACCGCTGCACGGCAGGAGCGGGGGGATCCCACCGTGGCGATCTGGAGAAAGTCGCTGAATGTCCGCACACCCATGGGCAACCGCCGGGCAGCGGCCGTGGCTGCCATCAGAGCAGCCGATCACGGAGCACAGATGCTGGGTGGGAGTGAGAGGCTGGACCCGGGGGTGGTGGGGGCTCCGAGACTAGGACCGGTGGGATTCGAGGTTCTGGTCCGAAAAAAAGACCCCCCTCGCTTCAGTCGGTAGAGTAAGAAGCGACACGAAGCGTCCGCTCGGCTTGAAGGAAGAAACCAGTTCGCCTGAGCTGCGCCTCCGTCCGCTAGCGTTAGCGAACACTAGCTAGCACGACGTTAGCTCGCTAACAAACGCGACGCACGGTCGCGTTGCTCGGCGCCTTCTGCGAAACTCACATCACTCGGCGTCTCCAGCCACGAGGTCCAGAGAAGAGTGGAATCACCGACGCCGGCTGTGGTTCGGTCTGTTGTGAAACGTCGCTCGGCTCGTCCGCGACCTTCTGCCGAGACATCAAACACCGGTGGGACAAACTGTTCCTTTCTTCTGCCCATCGGCTGTCAGCACAACGGCTCCGCGGTGCAATACTGCCCCGCACTGGCAAGGAGGTTAACTACAGGGAAATACTTTTTTTATTTTAATTTTTTTTCCTGCTATATATATTTTTATCTTGAGATGTGTGTACGCTCAAAAATGGATGTAATTATTTTCGTAAAAAAAAAATTCACTGGTTAATACTGTCTTTATACACTTGGTGTTCACCTTATTAGGTACGTACGGTGAACATGAGAGCTCAAAGCACTGCAAATTAAGAAAACACGCAAACAGATAAAACACAAATGAAGAAAAAAAAACTTCCAACACATGCAAATACAGGTACGTGCTGCAAATTGCGAAAATGGAAATGTTTCCAGGGGAGCCAAAAAAAAAGGTGATGAACCTGGTTGTAGTTCAATGCTTTGTGAAGTTTCATCACCACTGACGAGTTGTAGACTTCGATAACTTCTCTTCACATTGAACTACAGCCAAGTTCTTCACTTTTCCGTTTTTTGCAATTTTGTGTTTACAGTGCGTTGAGCTCTCTCTGCGACGTAGGAGGCACCTTTCCAGTCTGTTGTCAGGCCCCTGTTGACCTATGGCCATGCATGTACATTTTCAATTTATCATGACTAACTAGAAACCACTCAATACCCAAATGAAATGGGAAAGTCAAATGATCAATGCACTTGGATCAGCTTTTTAAATCTGAATATGTGCTGGAGTTCCAGTTTTCTCTGACAGAAAACAAACTGGGTGTTTGACATTTGAACAGACAGCAAAAGATATTAGAAAGCACCCGTGGGTTTCAGGTAATGATAAAGGGTAATTCATTGAATAATCAATTGATTATTAAAAATCTTGATAATCAGGACGATCTTTGTTGCAGCTTTATCATAGAACTCCGATGGATTGAGTTTCACCTGATTCAAAGTCTTGGCCATGGAAGCAGTTCAACAGGCACAACAAATACGTAAACCATACACTGTATGTTTTTTAATATATAATATTAATTATAATATATAATACATGCTCTGTCTGTGGTTATGATTTGTCCTTTTGTCAAAAGTCTGTCTGCCTCTCTGTGCTGTGGCTGCCGTGACCGTTCCCAGCCGCTCGGTGTCGCTGTGGTGCCGCCACGCCTGTAGGCGGACCCTCGTCACGGTCGTAGCCGGGATCGTGAGCTCCGACGCTGGATACGGAGACAACAACAGTGACAGATCGAGCCCGCACTTGTGTTCGCCTCCAGCGATGGGTGTCGTCTGACCGGTGGAGCCAGTAGCTTGCCGCAGTTTACCTCGTAGTTCAATCCTCATGAAGGAGCTCCGTCCGGGCTGAGAGTTTGGGAGATGGGAGTCCTCAACATCGTAGACCAGGTGAAACAAGGCGCCCCGTGTTTGTGCTGTGGCGCAGTCTATTTGCTGGGACGGACCCGCTTCTTGTGCGCAACACAACTGCGTCGCATTCGTCGAACGACTTGTTTTCGCCCGTAGCTCCTCGACGCTTCGTAGTTCGCCGACGTCGGCATCGCGATGCATTAAAATCCGCGCGATCGGCCGCTTTCCCCGCATGCACACGTCCGTTGCAGCCGCTCCGGTCTAGGCCGTGCTCTGGGTCCGGGCCAGCCCCTGGAGCGGCTGCTAGCTAAAGCCGTGCGGCTAACTCGCGTACCGAGCGAAGGGCCTGTAGGCCTCGGTCGGGGCTGCGAGTATTTGCTGGGCGGTCAGCGACAATTACACACAACAGACGCATTAAACACAACATTTGCAACGCTGCAATTTCACAGACTAGTCAGTGGATGTAGCGGGGATTTAACCCGCTCAGAGGGAAAGTGTGATGGACGGTCACCGATCAGCGTCATTTCATGCAACGTCGCTGCAACGTTAACTTGGCTGGTGTGTGTTTTGCAGCCTCCTCTGGTCCAGGCCATCTTCAACCGTAATGCTGAAGAACTTCAACTACTATTGCACAAAAAGGAGGATGTCAATGCACTGGTACGTGTGAAGTACATGTAGTTCATACTGTGCAGGACGTGCACCCCCACCCCCCCACACATATCCAACATGGTAAACGTCATTGTGTTTTTTTTTTCTTCCTCCAGGACCACGAGCGCCGTACGCCACTTCATGCTGCTGCCTGCGTGGGTGACGTCCATATAATGGACCTCCTCATTGAATCAGGTGAGTGAGCTGCATGCATTGCTGATATCTGGTTATGCATTTTCCGTTTGCCATCCTCCATCACAGGAGTAGGATGCACAGTGTATGCTTTGATTGTTAAGTCCCTGTGAAGCAGCATGAAGGTCTTTGCACAACAAGTCTGGATTTTTACACCAGTGGGAATCGTCACACACACACACACACACACACCCCTTGCACGCTGAGTCTCGTGTGTTATTATTTGATCTGAAAATGTAAACTAGGAGGTAAAATGGAGTCCAGCAGCGAGGATGAGCTTGTGCACCTCTCACTTTTTGATCAAAAGAAAACATTGGGTCTGACCAATCCTGAGAAGCCGCCGGGAACAAGGAGAATTTCGTCTTCTGATTAACGAGCTGCAAAATGATCCCGATCGCTTCCAAGTCCATTTCAGGATGTGAAATCTGCGATCCAATTGATCCCGAAGAGCAGCGAATCAAACCTGTTCTGAAAACTTAAATGATGAAAGTAATGTTGTATTTATTTTTTGAACATGCCACAGTTTCAGATGAAGATACAGACTTTGTGTGCGATACCTTTACGCTTCAGCTGCAATATACATGTGATACCTTTACACATGATTGATGTTTTGATTGTTTGTCTGCCAGGTGCCAGTGTTAATGCTAAAGACCACATATGGTTGACCCCATTGCACAGGGCAGCTGCTTCCAGGAATGAAGTAAGTGATCAACTCACATGCTTTTCTCATTTCAGAGAGTCTAATTATCTTGCAGCGAGGTGACATCATCCTATAATTCTCTTATATATTCACCCACAGTGATTAAAGAACTCATTAGAATTTATGCACCAAAAAACTGTAAAGGAAATGCGGCAAACCAAAGAGATGATATATACTTTAAGCTTATGTAATTCTGTCCTCCTCCCCAGAGGGCAGTGAGTCTGCTGCTGAGGCGCGGAGCAGAAGCAAATGCACGAGACAAGTTCTGGCAGACGCCACTGCATGTGGCGACTGCCAACCGTGCCACACGCTGCGCAGAGACCCTGCTGACCCAGCTGAGCAACCTGAACATGGCAGATCGCACAGGCAGAACTGCTTTGCACCACGCTGCTCAGAGTGGGTTCCAAGAGGTGAGAGCTCAGTTGTTTGTGAATCTTTTTGAGGTCATAATTAATGATCATTTGAAAAAGCTGCCTCAACTTTCCAATTAACTTACAGATGGTGAAGCTGTTGCTGAATAAAGGGGCCAACCTGAGTGCCATTGATAAGAAGGAGAGACAGCCTATCCATTGTGCTGCTTACCTGGGTAAGTGACTTTCATTTTCTCAACAGTGCTGCACAGCACTCAGTGTTCTTTTTTAAAATCACAGTAAAAGATATTTTATCCATGGACAGCAACAGACAACAAGTCCTTCAGTCTCAATCTATAATACTGACGTGCTCGTCATTTGTGGTTTCTCTTAGGGCATGTGGAGGTTGTGAAGTTGCTGGTGTCCCGCAGTGCTGACAAGAGCTGCAAGGATAAGCAGGGCTACACACCTCTCCATGCTGCTGCTGCCAGTGGTCACCTCGAAATTGTAAAGTACCTACTGAGGATGGGGACAGAGGTGAGTGCTTTACATTTAGTTTAGTTTAGTTTTGATTGTTTCTTTAAAGTAGTCAAACAAGCCTAAACATAAAACCAATAGTCCTCTTGGGCAGTTGAAATCTGGATTTCCGATCATAGTCTGATCTTGTGTCATATTTGTCGCCCACCGTCAGATTGATGAGCCCAATGGCTTTGGAAACACTGCGCTCCATGTGGCTTGCTACATGGGGCAGGAGGCTGTGGCTACTGAGCTGGTGAACCATGGAGCTAATGTTAACCAGCCCAACAAGTGCGGCTACACACCTCTGCACCTGGCTGCCGTCTCCACCAACGGTGCCCTGTGTCTGGAGTTGCTGGTCAACAATGGGGCAGATGTCAACCAGCAGGTACGAAACAGGCTGAAACGTCTCGAAGTGGAAATGACTGTCATGAAATAATCATTTGCTTTGGTGATGGTAAAGTCACAGCATTTCCAGTTCACTCAAAGGTGCAGATGTGTGTGCAGTAGATTTCTAGATCTTTGTCAGACCTTTGTCAAATGTTAAGATCATTTATACGTAGATTAGTTTTTAAACCAGATTTTAAAGAAGGTAATAATAAAAGAAAGTTGTGTGCCTCCGTTATATCCCAGGTTCAATGTAATAAAATATATATGGAGGTTGACCTGGAGAAAAATTAAAGATGATACACCTCTCTATTCCCGCCTTTAGAAATAATTTGTATAAATATGCAAGGGTGGAGGTTTTCTCATACACGCATTTAGCTGTCAGAAGTGAAACTGGAGTGCATGAGAATGAAAATGTCATAATAGAAGAACGGATTTGTATAAACGTAATCATTGTATTTTCATCTTACATAGATGTCTATCTAATCTGTCAGAGAAAATGCAAACAATGTAGTTTGCTATTTTGTAATATATTTAATATTTCAGGTTTTTATTAATTGTCCTTTTGTAGATAAAGACATGCCAGTAAGAGAAGAAAGAGCCCTTGCCTGCGCTGCACAGAAAATGTAAAAGCCTGTCATGTGCATGATATTCTTTGTCACACTTGAACTCTGAATCGGAGAAAATGTCAAAATCAGCTTCATTTGCTCGTGCAGCACTTTTCTGAAGACTCTCACAGCAGTAAAATTGTTTTCTAATCTCTGGTCCATGTTAAATATTAAATGAAATGTATTTTTTCATAGAGCAAAGAAGGGAAGAGCCCCCTGCACATGGCAGCCATTCACGGACGCTTCACACGCTCTCAGATCCTCATCCAAAATGGTAACGATGACTGTGCTGTGTGACTGGTCTGTGAGAACATGTCGCCGCAGGCTTTTCTCTCCTCCTCATGTGTGTTTCATTGAGTCCTTCTATTCTGTTTTCCATCAGGTGGGGAAATTGATTGTGTGGATAAGTATGGCAATACTCCTCTCCACGTTGCTGCTAAGTATGGCCATGAACTGCTGATCAGCACTCTAATGACCAATGGAGCAGACACGGCCAGGTATCAGAAAAGCTTTAAGTGGTAGCACTGATGAGAATAATGGTGCCATGAGGTTGTAAATACAAAGAAGCGTTAATGTATGTCCCTCATGGTTTGTGTTACAGCAGGGTTACATTTTTTTAATAGTTTTTAACGTTTTGTCCTGTGTCTATTTTGATTTTTCTAGACGTGGGATCCATGGAATGTTCCCCTTGCACTTAGCTGTGCTGTACGGGTTTTCAGACTGTTGTCGCAAGTTACTCTCCTCAGGTTTGTTCCATGAATGTTTACATTTGGAAAATTTAATGTTCTATTCTTGGACGTAGCTCTTTCTGCCAACTGCTCATTTTCCTACAGGTCAGCTGTATAGTATAGTTTCATCTATGAGTAAAGAGCATGTACTATCTGCCGGGTTTGACATAAACACCCCTGACAACTTTGGGAGGACCTGTCTACACGCTGCTGCCTCTGGAGGGTAAGACGCACAATCTGCTTGGACACCTGAATATTAAAGTGACTTACAATATTATGCTGGCACAGGTCGTCAGTTGCTCCAACTTAATTTCCTGTCATGGTCGTCTGTCTTCACAGAAATGTTGAATGTCTGAACTTGCTCTTAAGTAGCGGTACCGACTTAAACAAGAGGGACATAATGGGAAGGTGAGTTCTCGCTCATCCGTGTTTAATGTCTTTGTTTTTGCTTCTATACGTTGCTGATGCTGCAACATTCTCTGGATGTTTAATACAAACAAGTACCCAGAGTGACTGTATTCTCTCTCCTTGCATCCTGTGTGTAGGACACCGTTGCACTATGCGGCTGCTAATGGGAGGTACCAGTGCACTGTGACCCTGGTGAGCGCTGGCGCTGAGGTCAACGAGCCTGACCAGACAGGCTGCACTCCCCTGCACTACTCTGCCGCATCCCAAGCCTTCAGCAGGTTGGAACACTTGTCTCTTGCCACTAAAACTGATTGCTGTTTTTTTTTTATTCAGTTAGTAAACTAAATATGTGTTTCCTGACCTTGTGTGTCTGAGCTAATGTTCTCTCATGACTAATAAAAACCAAAAACAAATTAGCAGATTTGTAAATGTTCTGAATGTCTAGGTTTGTGAGTCAAGTCACGTTTGAGTTCAACATGTAAAATATTTTCAGATAGAAATGCAACAGTTTAAATATGTGTTAGTTCACATTACATTGACCTTGTTTATTGAATCTCTGAATATCTCTGTCTTTCCAGAGTTGATCGTCATTTTTCCTCGAACCATCAGAATGATGAGGACGAAGCAAAGGAATCGTACTTGTGAGTTAATTTACTCTCGCCGTCTCTCCCCTGCATCTGCCCATATCCAGTGTGATGTTGTATTAAATGCTGCGTTTCTTAACCCCCCTCTTCTTTTGTTTATGTTTTTAGCTGCTTGGAGCATCTTTTGGACAACGGTGCTGATCCATCGATGGTCAACACAAAGGGTTACAGTGCTGTTCACTATGCAGCTTACCATGGCAACAAACAAAACCTGGAGCTGGTGTGTACTTCTGTTCAGTGTGATTACCTCACAACAAACAATCTAATTTCAGTTACTTGTATAAAACAAGCTATTAGGTGACATAACCTGTAGTTCCAAGGTGACCTGGCTCACTTTTTCCTAATACACTTTAAAGACTGATCTGCTTGTGGACTTTTGATGCGGCGACTTGAAACTCAGTCGGTTAAATAAAATCCACTCTATCTTTTCCTTTCTAGCTCCTGGAGATGTCCTTTAATGCACTAGGAGACATAGAGAGCAGCATTCCAGTCAGTCCTCTGCATCTCGCTGTAAGTTTTTCACACCAACGGAGATCGTCTTCGTAGCCTCGACTGAATGTTAAGTTGTGACTGACTTCCTGTGCTCCCTCAGGCTGATAAGGGACACTGGCAGGCACTGCGTGTGCTCACCGAGACTGCAGCTTATGTGGACATGCAGGATGCTGCGGGTCGTTCTGTGCTCTACCTGGCCGCCCAGAAAGGCTACGCCCGCTGTGTGGAGGTGCTGTTGGCTCAGGGAGCCTCTTGTCTCCTCAATGAAAACCGTCTCATGTGGACTCCAATTCATGTTGCAGGTAATTCACTTTCTGCAGGAATATTTCAAGTTACTGCAATTGTTTGTGATTGTTATCTTCTTATATTCATTCAGTTTCACGTTAAATATTTTATTTCTTGTATTTGGTTTCATACCAGCTGCCAATGGCCACTCAGACTGCCTGCGTATGATGATTGATTATGGGGAGGATGGGGATCTCACCAATGTTGCAGACAAATTTGGACAGTAGGTTGTTTTTTCTCTGCTGTGTTCTTGGACTCCACTTTTCTGTTTCTTGCCCAATGAGCTAACAGTGAAAATACACTTGTTAATTGTTATTCCTGTCGCTTTTAGGACCTCTCTGATGCTTGCTGTTCAGGGAGGTCACACCGACTGTGTCCACTTCCTGTTGGAGAAGGGTGCCTTGCCAGATTCCAAGGACAAGAGGGGCAGCACAGCTTTGCACAGAGGGGTAAGTCCACAAGCCTCTGTATCTGGCTACGTACTGTACTCATAGTACTCAAGTGTAATTGTTGGATGAAGTTTTAAACAATAATAGACAATCTAAAGATCTTTCATTTTCACTTCCAAATATAGTGGTTAAGCTAAATGAAAGAGTCATGATAGTCAAAGTTATGTCCACGTAATAGTTTGTCTCATCACCTGTCTGTGTCCAGGCGGTGTTGGGCCATGACGACTGTGTGACAGCCCTGCTGGAGCACAAAGCTTCTGCACTGTGTAAGGACACCCAGGGTAGGACACCGCTGCACTACGCTGCGTCCAGAGGCCACACAGAGATCATGGCCAGTCTGGTGCAGGCTGCCATTGCAACAGACCCACAAGATAAACTGCTGGACAACAAACAATACACCCCGTTACACTGGGCTGCTTACAAAGGTAAGATCAGTTTGATCGACTTTAAAATGGCTGATCCGCCGAACCTGAATGTTGAAATAATCACTGTGACATCTTTTGTCCGTAACGCTGCGTGTGTTGGTTCTCAGGGCATGAAGACTGTTTGGAGGTTTTACTTGAATTTAAAACATTTATCCATGAAGAGGGAAACCCTTTCACCCCCCTGCACTGTGCTCTGTGAGTATTAACCTTTCATAAGGGCCTGTCTCAGTGTGTCAAAACTAAGAGCTGTTCCTCAAACAACAAAACAATCCATGAAGGTTTGGATGTAACCAACACATTCTTCTTGCTTGTAGGATGAAGAGCCATAGCGGTGCAGCAGAGAGGCTGCTGGAATCTGCTGGGGTCCAGATGATTAACACCAGAGATGCCAAAGGAAGGTCAGTCTGCAGAACAAACTGTGAACTTAGTCTGGAAATTGGGAGGGATAGACAAGAGATTCTGCATTACACAGTAAACACTGTTACTGCACATGTTTCTTCTATCTCAAAAAATGTGTCTCAAGTCCCTGAGCTTTTCCTGAAACTGCCACTGTCTCTGTGTGTGCCTGTAGGACCCCACTGCATGCTGCTGCATTTGCTGAGGATGTCACAGGACTTCAGCTGGTGCTTCGCCACGGGATGGAGATCAACGCAGTGGACAAAAGTGGACGCTCTGCTCTGATGGTAGCTGCTGACAAGGGACACAGTGGCACTGTCGGTAAGTTTCACTCTTCTTATTCTTGTTGTTTAAAACAATACATCGTTGAATGTCACACACTGGACTACATCTGTTGTGGTCTTCTGACAACATCTGTCACAGCAGGACAACTGTAGTGAAATAAATGTCTTTGTGTTGTCCAGCCATCCTCCTTCACCGGGCCAAGGCTGACCTGACACTGCTGGATGACAACAGGAACACTGCCCTGCACTTGGCCTGCAGCAAGGTACGCATAAAAATGACTCAGTAGATCCTGAAGCTCCACTGTGGTGTGCTGAGCATTACCACCACGACTTCTAAACTGAGCCAAGTAAAGTTTCCTCTAAATGAGCAATGCTCATTTTATCTTAGATAGATAGAAAATCAACCAAGCAGCATGAGATGCCTCTTCTATGCATGTGAAGCAATGCATTGTCTTTCTGTTTTGTCCCTCAGGCTCATGAGATGTGTGCCCTGCTGATTCTGGGAGAAATCCACAGTCCCACACTCATAAATGCCACCAACAGTGCTCTGCAAATGTGAGAACCATGTAACATTTATAAGCTAAGAACGAATGAGACAAGTTTTAAAACTTGGGTGTACTAGTTTGGCCTTTTTGAGCCAAATTGTCTGTCCGGCTGCCTCTCATACTTTTCCCCTCGCTCTCTCCCAGGCCCCTCCATCTCGCAGCACGCAACGGCCTGGCTACGGTGGTGCAGGCACTGCTGAGCAGAGGAGCCACTGTGCTGGCTGTGGACGAGGAAGGTAAAGCACTCCAAAATATTGATTGACCGATGTGTTGTTTTTTTTTTTTTTTTACAAGGAGACCATTTACCAACATTTCATAATGAGTTAATTTCAAATCTTAAAACAAAATTAAGAGTAACAAAAAACTAATGCTGCACCAAGTCTGTGGGCCAACAACATAGTGTCCAGGTGTTTCTAATATTTTGTCCACCCCATTTATATCAACTAAAGTAGGCAAAATAGCAACAACAAAAAAAACTCTGCATAATGCAATTCAGCTCAACAGCTCCACAGACTGCAGCCTCCACAATGATGACGCGGCTGAATTAACACGTCTCCGGGGTAATTTTGATTAAAAACTCAACATTACAACCTGCATGAAAGGAGGATTTATTACAGGACTTAAGTATCACACTGCGTGCACTTAATAAACTGCCAACCCAGTTTATATTTATAATTATCAGTTGTATGTACAGGCAGCAAAGTGCCCCACTGGAATTTATTGGTTGCTTTCGGTGCAGTTCTCACCTGGGAACAGAATTTATATATTTGAGTACTGATGCGTATACGCCTGGTGGTTTAAAGACATTTATTTTAATAGTTTTATGACCATGTATCATTATCACTGAAGAACATTTTATCCCCCCCCCCCCCTTCTCTCACAAAGTACTTTATAAGTGGCTTATTTTGTACTGAGGGAAATATTTGTCTCTTTAGTTGTTAAACGATCTTCACCAGCTAGTTAAACACCTGCATGTGTCATTTAATGTGATGCAGAGAGAAACATTAGGGTTGTTAACTTTACTTATTGTAATTCAACTGGTTTTCAAGCAGTATGTGTTCTAATGCAAGGTTTTTTTTTTTTTTTTTTTTTTTTTTTTCATCAGGCCACACCCCAGCTTTGGCCTGTGCTCCCAACAAGGACGTGGCTGACTGCCTGGCTCTGATCCTCTCTACCATGAAGCCTTTCCCCCAGCGGGACCCCTCCTCCTGCTCCTGCTCCTCTCCCACCGTCTCCCCATCCCCGGGTCTCAACTTGCTGAAGCACTGCGGCATCACCGCCGCCTGCGCCCCGCTGCCCAGCAACGGCCTCCACAACGGCTACGTCAAAGACCGTCACGGTGCACCGGTTGGCCTGGATGGGTGTCTGTCTGAGTGAGGGCGTGTGCACCCCCCCTCAGTCAGCTGCTATCACCATCATCACCACCAGGGGGTGACTCCCTTTAACATGGCCCAGAGGACCAGGAGAGCACCCACCCACACGTCTGTTCTCTGTGTATGTATGTGTTTGTGCGTCTGTGTGTGTGTGAGTGTTTGGTCTTCTCTTGAGGTGCAGTCAAACCTAATATGCAATTAGATCCCATTCCTCCATCTCCTAGTAGTGCTTAACTCGTAGAGGCAACTTGCTCTACAAGGTCACTCAGATAAAGTGCGGCTTCCAAAACAAACACGAGCAATCTGGCCATCTCGAAATCATTTAACCCTTTAAAACCATGTCTACATAATTATATAACCGACATCTAAGAGCATGGAAACCTCTGTATCCTCGACTGTCTTTATCTTCATATCACTCAGTATAAGAAGTCATATCATATTTAATCCGTTATGGTGACCTTGTAGAGGAACATACAGCCTTCCCAAAAGAATGATCAAAGAGTTTCTTTGTGTTTTGGTGATATTTTGATTTATTTCTTTCTTTTTTTTTTTTTTTGTTTTGTTTTGTTTTTAATTGTCCGTTAGCTTAGATTTTTATGAAGGAACCACACAAGGGAAAATCGAAATTTTGCTTAAGAGTGCAATGCTTGTGTACTACAGTACAATCCGAAATTTGGAAAAGGGTCACAAAGATGTTAATTCCATAGTGTACTTTAAACGTACAGCTTAGAATCGTTTGGCATTTTAAGATAATTTGGTAACGCTGCTGAATACACACGCATGTCTCCTTCCAAAGGAGAGCCATGCTCGGGTCGGCATTAGGTCATCAATTTGCTCTTAATGCTGACTTCATGTTTGAAAGATGCTAAATAAGTGTTTGTTAAGCTAGAATGTTTCTAAGCATATAAGTTATGACCAAAGTTGATCAACACTACTATGGCTATAAATTATTTATTTGAGATGAACTGTACTGTATAGAGAAAGACAATAGATCTTGATATACCTCGTCAACTCGTTTAGCAGCTGCTTCATCTTCACCCAGGGTCCGTAGGCCTAATGTTCTCTTTTTGTAGGACTAGAGAACTACTGTAGGATAGTGACTGACTGAGGCCTTGTTTATTTCTAGATGAAGGCTTTACTAGTAATATCTGCCAACAACACCTCATCAAAGCATCATATATCTGAGCACATAAATGAACAAGCCATTTCAATTTATTTCCCATCTCTTTAACAGTGTTTTTCTTTTTTTTGGGAAAAGATTTCAGAATTCCATTGGCCTAATTATTGAAAGAGAGCAATCGTGTTTTTTTTTGGCACTAATGACTTTTTCTGTTTGTTTGTTTTCTTGCGTTTCTGAAGTTGAACCGGCCATCACCACCGTCGTTTAACAAGCTCTCTGTAAGGAGGATTTGTCGGAGCTGGTGAACTAGTCTCAAACATCTAATAGCTTATGTCTCAGCTTCTCGGTGGTCAACTCTGATTATTATTATTATAACTGAAAGATAAAGAGTATTTTCTGCTTTTCTATTGGGCAGTTTTCAAGCAATATTTTTTCTTTTTTGGCCTTTTTTGTTTTGGTTAAACATTATTGAATAGACAATCACTGTCATAAGGGCTTTTGTTTCCCTGGAATGTGTTTGAATTTTCTTTATTTTTCTTAAATATATTTTATTTTCCTCTTTCTTCATGAAAAATTACTAAAGACTTAACGAATGGCTCTGTGTGTGCCGGGCATTTTACTGTCAGTGTCAACACAAATGCACTGGGCTGCCTTTATGGCATCCCATGAAATGCCTTTTGACCCATGCCTTCCGTAACACATCATTTCAGTTGGATTGCATAATGACAGAGTATGACGAGCCCTGAATCTGATCATCTTTCCACCCATTTGATAACAACAACATTGAACACGGTCAAATCATAGTAGCTAGTGGGGAGAAAAAAAACATTGCCCAGCATATCTGTATATGTAACGGCAATATCAGTGACCAGGGGGCTGATGTCCCTTCTAGAAGCAAATAGGGCTAAGAGGAAAAGGAGGGGGATCTTCGCTTAGGCCAATACCTGTTGTTTAGATTTCAGGAATAGCAGAAATCCAAATATGTGCTTTTTTGGTGTTAATGTTGTCGTCTCCTCATCCCATTTCTGGTACTAAGCATACTAAAGATGATTGTATCGGACCACTAGAGCTGTTTGTGACTTTAAGATGTTATATCTATGCTATTTTGTCGTCTTTTTTTCTATTGTTTTAAACCATCGGCTGGTGGTTAAATTACACTGAGTAAGATTGTTTTCATTGGCGTGATAACTTCATATCCACTGGTAATGAAGTGGCACAATTGCACACATTAGTTGACTGGATGAGAGATGAGGACCTAGACTAGGCTATGTTGTTAAATTCCCCCTGCAAAAGGTTGTTCGCGTCGTCGTATCTCATTTGACTAACTGTTCAATTTCAGAGCAGTGATTTCTCGGTTAGTTGAGTAGATTTGTATTCGTCATTTCAATTCAAAACCTCCATAACTGACTGAAATGAATTAGAACTAATCGGCGACTCTCAGCCTTTGGTCTCTTGATCAATTTCTAATTTACAGGAGAAGTTATATTGTTGTTTAAATTAGGGATAGGTGCATAATTTTCTTTTGTAATCTCAGGATCTGTGCTGAAGCCGCAGGCAGAATTTTACTAATCCAATCAGATCTCAGCAGGATGATTATGTCTACATTTTTAATGGGAGGTTCCATTAATTTAATTCCTTTTTAACCCTAATCCCACAGCACTTAATTAGATAGTCAAGCACGCACTTTAGTACATTCAGGTTCTAAGTGTGCAAAGGAGCAGATGTAATGTATGTACTTATGTTTACATGCATGTGTGTTGCTGCTGCTGAATACAGGAAGGAAGGGTTGCAAACGACAAGCAAAGGCTGCAACAAAATTGTACTCTAACAATGCATTATTTAAAAAAACAACAAAAAAAACAAGTGTCTCTAAGCACTTCGGGACAGTGCCCACTGCCCACTGACTTTTTTTTGTGTGTTTTTTTTTTTTTTTTCTGGGCAAACGGCCCGACAAAGTGACAAGGTTGCATTACCCAGCCTACTGTTAATAATACAGACTCTGGCCTCAGTCACTTTAAGTCAGTCCAGTGATTCAACACGCACCTCAGGCAGGCTCCTCAAAATACTCAACATACTCTCTCTCTGCCATCTGTAGGTGCTGTCAGATAGTCTGTTCAGGCAGGGATCTTTTTGTTTTCTCTTGTGATGTCCTTATCTGACCAGTAAATGGAGCCATTGTCCCTCGCAACTATACAAGTTGTAACTGAATCCTTTTATTGTATCACAGTATTCTTCTACATGCTTTTTTTTGTTTTGTTTTATTTGTGTGTACCAGTGATAACTGAGTGATTGTGCATGGAGCTAGATCACAATTTTGATATAGTTAACGATTAAACAAACGGAGCATATACAATATATCTGGAGTCGGAAAGCAATGAAAGGTCCAATTGTAGCAATAGAGCGTGTGTGTAAAATGTGTGCAGCACAAATATTGCACTGCCATCCATTTAGGCCAATTCAGTAAATCATAGCATAAATGCCAATGGAAGATTTGAATGCGGGTTCGATGTTATAAACTTTGGTCACAAATGAGGCCTGATTGCCAAAACATGGAGAGAGGGGGGGAAACCTCTTAGTAAAGCAGCAATGGATTTATGCATATGTTCAAGCAGTTTACAGTCTGACCATCAAATCTGAGCCATGAATTTTCTGACTGAAATGAATGTAGGGTCAGTTTAGAGCAGGACAATTTGCTTTCTCCCGACTTTAAACTGTTGCTCTTCATTTGTCGTGCGTAGATGTGATTATACAGGTAGCATGTCATGACCTACTTCTCTACATGATATTCAGTAAGTGTAGTAGTCTTCCTGCATTGAGGGTCTGGATAGGGACTTTTGTTTTTTTGGCATTATTGTTGGGAGTATAGGCCTGCTGTTGTGTGATATCACTTTTCTCTATATACATTTGTGTGGAGTGTAGCCTGCAAGGTAGACAGAGGACAAGAGTTCACAATTAAACGTTCATGTTCATCCATTCCATTGAGACTGCCTTAGAGCACAGTAAAACAAGAGGGACAAAAAGGTCTGCAGTAGATATGATCACACATACTCGTAAATAGCCTATATTTGACAAAAATGCACCTAAGCTACACCCATTTAGTGCCATAGAAACCTTTATTTGCCTTTAGACATAAATCATATTTACTTGGTCCGTAACTTATTCAGAAGTAGGCAGGATTATTACAATTTTGAGTTTGGAGCTGCATGTCTTTTTCACCAATTATTCTAGTCAAAGGAAAACTATAAATATTTGCATGGGTTATTAGTAATTTAATGCAAGTATTTGGTTCAAAATTGGTGTTGGGTAGAAGTCTATTTTATAATTGGACATTTTTTGGAGAATACAGTTAGTTTGCTATTGGCAAAGCAATCCCTAGGTTGTGTGTGTGTGTGTGTGTGTGTTTAACAAGATGGTTTATAATGTGTGTGTTACCAGGAGAAAAAAAAACATTTTAGATGTCCCATAAAAAGAAAAACGCATGGTATATACAGTATAGAATTGATTTGCCTCAATGGATGTCTCGGTTCTTACTTGAAGTAAATGGCAAATTTCAATTCAACTCTGATCCACTGTTGAGCCTTTTGCCTTAAAAGCTGAAAATGGAAATGATACCTGGCAGTACCTAATAAGTTGCATCACCTGTAGAGTTATGCTTCTTGGTTCGGATCGCTAAAAAAAAAATATTTTGGGGCTAATTTTGGTCTTAAAGACATCTGTGGGTGTCGAGAAGCACACAAATCAATTGAGGTAGCACATAGCTCAAGGTTGCCATGGTGCAGAGATTGTTCTGAGAGGTTAGGATATCGCCATATTTGCCACTGTGAAAGAACGAATTAAGAATTCACTTGGAAACAATCAAGTTTGGCTTCTCTGTTATCCAGAGCCAAATACACTGGGGATAAAGGTGGTGTACCTCAAGAAAAAATATTTAGATGGAAAAAAGGAAATTCTCGTGATTAAAAAAAAAAAAAAAAAAATCTTGTACAGCTATGCTAACAAAGAGTTAAACTTTTGTTATCCATCTTCTCGTGGGTAGTGTAGTTCTGCTTAAACCAGCCTAAATCGTAGATGTATCTAAGCGAAAGTGTTAGATTAGTGTCGGCAGATGTCTGATGTTTCCTACCTTACTAAGGGGCAGCCGACTGCACCTTGTACTTCTTATTGGACCTGCAGTTTTACCTCATCACTGATCTTTTCGTGAAGCCGCTGACATTGATCCTCTGTGATTTCTTCTTGCATTTCCTAATGCAAGTCGTGTAGATTTCTCTCTTGTAGTGTGTGTGAGTGTATGTGTGTGAGTAACAACATTTCAATATTTGCATGTCAAACCTAAACATGCACAATTTCCCTTTTTTTTTTTTTTTTTAACAGAGAAGCATAGTAACAATTTCAACATGTGTCTCTTCATTACAACCAACAGATGAGTCTGTTATCTGGTGCAAGTCATATAGGATGAAGGGTACTGTCTAATTTTATTGTAGGAAATGAAGCTAGCTATAATACCATACCTCTGTAAATCAAAACAATAAAATTTTACTGTACGACTAATGCTAGTTTGACCACTTTTCCCTGCCTGAACACTTGGTTATTAATTTTCCCACCACCAATAGGACCTGTGTAATATTGAGCACAGTGGTGGCATGGTGCCTTTTATTTGTTACTACCGAAAGGTACGGTCTTCCATTTGTATTTCCCAGAAGCCTTATAATGGGGGGGGGAAAGGAAAATTACACTGAACATACATGACGACAGAACATAGACTCATACACCCTCCGAGCATGATTATCTCAACCCTATGTGATCTAAGTTATTCAAACAAAAAAAGCCAAGTAACTCCTCCTGTATTGGTGTGGATTTAATGATGCATTTCCACTCACTGTCTGCTTGGCAGAATAAATTGCACACTACTGATGCAATTTCAGGCACATCACACATTGAACGGATGGAGATCAATTGTACGAAAGCACAAATCCAAAGAAGGCACCTCTGGACTTAGTTGGCTTCCCCCAACACCGAGGAGAGCAGGAGCCTATAGACCAAATTTAGGCAAAAGGCGCGAGGGAAAACATCGGCCTCCTCTCGAGTGCAGGAAACCGGAGGATTGATTGTCAGTAACACATTAACTGTAGAAAGACCATCGTCTGGATTTTTCAGAGCTGCTTCAGATTGTTTTTCTCGACTCTGGTTTTCATCGATGATTATTAACCGAGATGTGAAAAGATGCGGTACCTGCATTTCAAGATCAAGTTTAGGCAAACTGTTGTGACTGTGTTGCAAATTGATTGTGGAGATTGTTTTGTATTATTTAGGGTAGACTGACTACAAGTAGGTTTGCAGTAGTAGCTGTGTGCAGTGTTAATTACCGTGTGATCATACTATAGAAGTGACGTAACATTTGTTGTCTTACTACGACATTAAGGCATGCATCATCTTCTCTCAAGCTGACCTCGTTTGAAATAGACAAAAGATAAAAGTGCAATAACCTTGTGTTTATCATTGCTTCCTCGGTGGAAAAGAAAATCTTATTTAATATGCCCTTTTTGTTAACACCAAAAGTCACTTGTCTGTAGCAAATGAAGGATTTCAAGTGGTCCTCTTGTTTGTATTCAGAGGTGGCGTTTGCTAGTGGAGTGAGTGATATTCCGTTCTTAAAACTGTGATCACTATCAGACTTTAAAAGCCGCCTGCTCAGAGAAAGGAAGGTGCACAAGTTTCCCGATAGATTTGAGCAGGTGCAGGGTTTTTTTTTTTTTCCTCTGATAGATGGACTTTTACGGTATTGTAGTTTGGATTTCTGGTTTCTAGCCGATAGACATGTTAATTTGCATGTGTAGATGTGTATATGCATCCTCTTCCTCCTTGAATGAAATGTTTTCTCAAAAATATTTAGACCTGCTGTCAGTGACGTATGCGGATAAAAGGAAATATGAAATGCCTTATATTTGTTTTCATTGTTAAGCATTAAGGGTTCTTACGTGTCCCTCCCTTTTCAGCGTGTAGCCTAAAGCTTGTACAGTTAAGATACTCATGAGATTTATATCTACTGAATAATAGCCTGTGTTTTCAGAATTTGTTACTTGGAGGTCCTGTGATTGTGGTTTTAGAGAAACATTCCCCTTTGAAAGTGCCGTTTGTTTTCACCAGCAAAAGATGTGTTTTTGGGGGGGGGAATGTATTTACACGAAGGAAAACAAATGTTCAAAAAAAAAAAAAAAGACACTTTCCGGTGTTTGCAGGTGAACCTGAATGACACAAAGAGTTTGTGCAGGTGAAATAAGGCAGCAATCTTCTGATGGAGCACCTTATCGACTCGCTCCTTCCATGAGCTCACGATGGAAGTAGTCTCACATCAAGCTTGATTACTCTACAGCAGAGCCATATCGCAGAATATTCCCATTAGCAGCCCCCCTTGAATGTGCTATTAGAAATAGCCTACTGTAGAAAGGATGTGTACTGCATGTTCTGTGACATTTTCTTCGTGGTTGTCCCCCTTTCATGTTTTTATGTTTAGTCTGCTTCACTGTAGATGTTGCCACCTCATTGCGACTCACAAGCTATTAACAATCCTCTCACGACTGGACTTAAAGCAGGCAGCGGTCTGCGGCTGAGGCAGCCTTAATTCATCGCAAATTTAAAATGTAGAGGTGATAGATAATGGGTTGCCTGTTTTACTTTGAGTGGCTTATCTGGGGAAATACAAAGGAGCCCTTGTTATGAGTAGAAGGACTCTGAATCAGGGCATGTGATGAGTTACAATCAAATGGTTTCACAGTGCACCTTCACAAAAACAGGAATGAATTTTGAAAAAAATGATAAAATAAAAAAATATGAGGGGAAAAAAGTTGGCTCGTCCACCCAACATTCCAAAGTTGATTTAATTTCCCAACGTCCTGTCCCGCTGATTGAGGAACTTTTTCTTTTTTTTGCTTTGCTGATGAATGAGGTGGGCATGTGTGTCAATGACAGGGTTCCCTATTTAGCCTAACGCTGATTACCTCATTTACAAATCTGCAAATATACTACTCTACTGTGTCTAAAGGAGTCAATGCCATCACCAGCAGCGTGGTCTCTAGACCTGTGATGACGACAGGACCAATGAAGTTACTCTGTTGAAATTAGCCCATTTAAAAAAAAAAAAACAGTCGGGAAATATAGGGTAAAGACACGATAAATGTTTTTTTAAAGGCTGAGTGGGCCTCGAAGATTTCTTTAGTTAGTAAACAGCTGCTACTCCAGTCAGCCTCAGGCGCTGTCAGGAAACCTGCATGTACAACTCTTGAGATTATTTCTGGGGCATCATAATTTAAGTAAAACCAATGACCTACGATATTTTTACTAAAGTGGAAATCTGAAATTCCGGTTGTCACACTCCGCTCCTGAAGACGATGACTGGGATAGCAGCTGTCGGCAGTAGCATGGTTCAAGAAGTCGAGCCGACGCCTGGTGTATCATGATTATTTAAGTGAACGATCATGTTAGCATCACTTGCTGTTTTTCAGTAGCATTTCTCCTACCTCCTTGTTTTGCAGCCTTGAGTATTGTTTGTCTCTCCACCTGTTCTGACTTCTAAAAAAGAAAAAGAGAAAAAAAAGAGGATCACAGTACGGGAATACAGATTTATCATAAGCAATGGTAGTTATACTTACGAAAAAAAAAAGTGTGCTTGGTTGTGCTGTATGTGTATTTGTCTATTTGACGTTGAAAAAAATATTTATGAGAAGCATTTATACGACAAAATACCACTGGAATGTGAAGCCAGACAATGTTAAGATGCAGATTATGATGATAGTCTATCCCCTTTAACATTCAGTGGTGAGGAATCATCTTTTAGAAAATGAATAACCATCCATTGGCTTTTTCTTTTCTTTTGATATCATGTATTTCTTTGGTTTCCTCTCGTATGTATACCTCCCTGTCGAGCCCTGTAGTATACACAGTTTCAACGTTTACAGCTTCATTCTGGGTCAGCCATCCATCGCCCTGCAGTTGGAATGGTACCACGGGTTGTCACGAGAAAAAAGATGGCGAGGTGGATTTGTAATTCTGTACGAGGGTGAGTTTGAGCCCCTCGAGCCGTATGCCTTCGAATCCATCTGTCGAACCAAATTCTGCTTCATAGTCTTCTGTTTCCACACCGCCCCGACATTTTACATTCAGTTTGACGACAAGGGGCACAGGACAAGGTGAAAGGTTTGAGGTTTAATGACCCCCCCCAACACTCCCTACACATCCCACCATCCTCAACCCCCCCCCCTGCCCCACATATGCTTTGTCCAGGACTGGACCACCCTTGGCCACTGTCTCACCTAAACCTCAAGCCATTCATTCTTCTGTTGTGTTTTAGGAATTTTTTTTTTTTTTTTTTACAATGCAATCCTGAAAGCACTTTGCCTTGTTATTCCTTTGTGTGAACATGTGAATGATAATTTGTTACAAAAATGTTAAATATGTAAAAGATCA